AAAGTTGGTAATAAAGTTCAAGTACGTGGATATTTATAAATATTAAGTAAAATAAGAGGTATTTGTTAGGAGGATAAAAATTAAATTTTTAAAAACGGCTAAAATACTTATAGATGGTTTAATGAAGGTACTAGACTTCTAAAAGTATATAGCGTTCATAAAATTAGTAGGGATAGAATTAGTAAAGAATAGAGAATTGAAAAGACGGGAGAATATAATAGTATATATTGAGATAAATAAAATTAATAACGAGATAACCCTAGGATGGTTATGTAATATTGTGAATAAGGTTATTTTTGGATAGTTTTGGGTAGTTTTGTCTCTGTAAGACTTCAATTGGGGAGGTGTGTTAGTTTGGAGAGTTAAATCTAGCCAGTAAGAAGAAGGCTCTAAATGAGGACTAGCCTCCTAGCTACCAGAATCTGGCTGCAGACCTCCCTAATACTCTGGGAGCCCCTAACTCTAGCTCTATAGTACTCTTCTATATATACATAGATTAATATAGAGATTTACCCACTTGTGACTCAACCGTGCATTCTGACAGATTTATCTCTACGCTATATCCTAACCAATTATATCGTTCGTTGTATCTGCATGCTACGTTGAGTACCGACCTGCAGGTCTTTCCTGAGGTATAATTGGCCGTAAAACGTGGGGATAAATCGGCCGAGAGTGAGAATTAGCGATACTGCATGAAATTCAAGCAATTGCCGTTGAACGCTCCCGAAACCCTTGATGATGATCGATGTTGCACGATCTCTACCTCGACCGGACGTATCGGCAAGCCAGGAGGTGTTGGACAAGGTCGAGGACGACGATCCCATCGATAACGCTGGAGCAGTCGCTGTCTACCGCCTTTTTTCATTCAAACCGGATTTATCCCCACAGTATTGGACCAATTACATCTAGAGAATGCCCTGAAGGCGACGCCAAAACGTGGCAGGCAGACTTCATGATTGGCCAGGACAGCGTGGGGATAAATCCGGTTTGATACAGACATCGCCCCCTGAAAATGCGATGCCGCGGTCCGCTCCCGATCAGAAAGCTTGTTTCGTCAAGGGTCTCCACCGCTCAACACTTGGACGAGCAGGACAAGCATCCCATGACATTCTAGCAGTCCATAAGGCATTGGCGTACGTAGGTTGTTAGGTAATGAAGAGCAATTGGAGGTGTGTGCTCATGGCTCCATCTACGTCCATAACCGACACTATTACCGAGTCTTTCATGGGGTCCCCATTCTCCAGATGCTCTGTGCTTTGATGTGGACAACAGGCTGTGGCGGTGGGTGTTTGCCTTGTCTGTCTTCTTGCTATACCACAATCGTCCCGTCTCGCGTCGCGAGGATCCCCGGGCGACCCGGAAGGACAGACAACGAGACTCGAGAGGGTGTAAGAAAGGGGAAGACGGAAGAAATAGAAGCACATACCTGATATATATTCCGTTCCCTCCCACCGACTGAGGTTGAACTTTTATGAAATCATCATCTCATCATCATCCAAGCCCTTAATAATCTTTGTTTAGGTGTTAGTTTCTTTCTCTGAGAGAGTTCTTTTACTTTTACTTCAATCATTCTTACCTACCTTAAGGTACCTACGGAGCCTCTCCTCACGCTCAACAACATCCACCAACCTAGACAACTTACCTCCACCGTCCGAGCTGATTGAACTGATATTGAGACGACAAACTTGTCATCTCATAATATCGACAATATCCGACTTTTCCTTTTTCCATATTACAACACCCTAATACACACACATCACCATGAGCCAACAACAAAATTCCCCTTACGGCCGCCGCCTTATCCTCGACATCATTAAGGAGCGTGCCCAGAACGAGCCCGAGCGGGAATGGGTGTCTGTACCTCGTTCCTCCGACCCCAAAGATGGGTGGAAGATCCTCACCTACCTCGACGCCTACAACGGCATCAACCGCATCGCGCACAAGCTCACGCGGGTCTGCGGTGCTGCCGCACCCGGCTCCTTCCCCACGGTTGCTTATATCGGCCCCAACGACGTTCGCTACCTCGTCTTCGCCCTAGGCGCCGTCAAGGCCGGTTATCAGGCTCTCTTCATCTCGACTCGCAACTCCGCCGAGGCCCAGCTGCACCTGTTCGAGCTGACGAACTGCAACACCCTGGTGTTCGATCAGAGCTACAAGGCTACCGTCCAGCCATGGCTACACGAGCGCGAGATGACTGCGATTCTGGCGCTTCCCGCTGATGAGTGGTTCCCGGCCGACCAGGAGGACTTCCCGTACAACAAGACGTTTGAGGAGGCCGAGTGGGATCCCCTGATGGTGCTGCACACTTCTGGAAGTACTGGATTCCCCAAGCCCATCGTGGCCAGGCAGGGTATGATTGCTATTGCGGACCAGGTTCACAACCTTCCGCCGCGCGAGGACGGGAAGCTCATATGGATCGCGGAGATGAGCAAGAGGGCCAAGAGGATGATGCACCCTAGTGAGTATTCCCCGAACACATAATGGTCGATCAGGGTCCGAAACTAACAGATGACGACAGTGCCCCTTTTCCACGCGGCTGCCATGTACGTCTCCATGATCATGATCCACTACTGGGACACCCCTGGTGCTTTGGGCATCGGCGAGCGTCCACTCTCTTCCGATCTCGTTGTCGAATACATCAAGTACGCCGACGTCGAGGGCATGACCCTGCCTCCCGCGATCCTCGAGGAGCTCTCCCAGGACGAGGAATCTATTCAGGCCCTCAAGAAGCTCAACTTTGTGTCCTTCGGCGGCGGCAACCTCGCTCCCGAGTCCGGTGACCGCCTGGTCGATAACGGCGTGACGCTCTGCAACCTCATCTCCGCGACCGAGTTCACTCCCTTCCCCTACTACTGGCAATACGACAACAAGCTCTGGCGCTACTTCAACTTTGACACCGAGCTCTTTGGCATCGACTGGCGCCCCCATGACGGCGACTCGTCTTACGAGCAGGTAATCGTCCGCAAGGACAAGAACCCCGGTCTTCAGGGCTTCTTCTACACCTTCCCCGACTCCAACGAGTACAGCACCAAGGACTTGTACAAGCCCCACCCTACCCTCAAGGACCAATGGATCTACCAGGGCCGCGCCGACAACATCATCGTGTTCTCCAACGGCGAGAAACTCAACCCCATCACCATCGAGGAGACGGTGCAGGGCCACCCCAAGGTCATGGGCGCCGTTGTCGTCGGCTCGAACCGGTTCCAACCTGCTCTGATCATCGAGCCCGTCGAGCACCCCGAGACCGAGGAGGGCCGCAAGGCTTTGTTGGATGAAATCTGGCCCACCGTCGTCCGCGTCAACAAGGAGACCGTCGCCCACGGCCAGATTGGCCGCCAGTACATGGGTCTCTCCACCCCCGGCAAGCCGTTCATGCGCGCGGGTAAGGGCACCGTCCTGCGCCCTGGTACTATCAACCTGTACAAGGCCGAGATCGACAAGCTCTACGAGGACGCCGAGAAGGGCGTTGTCACTGGCGAGGTCCCCAAGCTTGATCTTTCCTCGTCCGACGCCTTGATCCTCTCCATCGAGAAGCTCTTCGAGACCTCCCTCCACGCTCCCAAGCTCGAGGCCGACACCGACTTCTTCACCGCCGGCGTCGACTCCATGCAGGTCATCACCGCGTCTCGCCTCATCCGTGCTGGTCTGGCCGCTGCCGGCGTGAATGTCGATGCCTCGGCCCTGGCCACCCGTGTCATTTACGGCAACCCCACTCCCAAGCGTCTGGCCGACTACCTCTTGTCCGCCGTCGTCAACAAGAACAAGAACGCCGCCCACGGCACTTTGGACGACGAGCACCACGGCATGGAGGCCCTTGTGGAGAAGTACACGCAGGACCTTCCCACTCCCAAGCAGAACAAGCCTGCGCCGGCCGACGAGGGTCAGGTGGTCGTCATTACCGGCACCACTGGCGGCATCGGTTCCTACATGGTCGACATCTGCTCTTCCTCCCCGCGCGTCTCCAAGATCATCTGCCTCAACCGTTCCGAGGACGGCAAGGCCCGCCAGACGGACTCCTCCTCCGGCCGCGGCCTGTCCACCGACTTCTCCAAGTGCGAGTTCTACCACGCCGACCTGTCGCGCGCCGATCTCGGTCTCGGCTCCGAGGTCTACTCCCGCTTGTTGACCGAAGTCGACCGCGTCATCCACAACCAGTGGCCCGTCAACTTCAACATCGCGGTCGAGTCCTTTGAGCCTCACATCCGTGGCTGCCGCAACCTCGTAGACTTTTCCTACAAGGCTGACAAGAACGTGCCCATCATTTTCGTGTCTTCCATCGCCACCGTAGACAAGTGGCGCGAGGAGGATCGCATCGTTCCTGAGACCTCCCTCTCCGACTTCTCCATCTCGGCGGGCGGTTATGGCCAGTCCAAGCTCGTTTCCTCTCTCATCCTCGACAAGGCCACCGAGGTGTCTGGCGTGCCCACCGAAGTCGTTCGTGTCGGCCAGGTCGCCGGCCCGTCTTCCGAGAAGGGTTACTGGAACAAGCAGGAGTGGCTTCCCTCCATCGTCGCCTCGTCCGTCTACCTCGGTGTCCTCCCCGACTCTTTGGGACAGATGAGCACATGCGACTGGACCCCCATCGAAGGCATCGCCAACCTTTTGCTCGAAGTTTCGGGCGTCACCGATGATGTCCCCATTGACAAGCTCAACGGCTACTTCCACGGAGTCAACCCCGAGCGCGCCAGCTGGTCGGAGCTCGCGCCCGCCGTCCAGGAGTACTACAGCGACAGAATCAAGAAGATCGTGCCGCTGGACGAGTGGATCGAGGCGCTGGAGAAGAGCCAGGAGAAGGCCGAGGACGTGACGCGCAACCCGGGTATCAAGCTCCTTGATACGTACCGCGCTTGGTCCGAGGCGACTAAGAAGGGAACCAAGTTCGTGCCGCTGGATATGACCAGGACGAAGAGTTACTCGAAGACAATGAGGGAGATGCAGGCGGTTACGCCCGAGTTGATGAAGAACTGGTGCAGGCAGTGGAACTTTTAAGCGGAGAGGGCTTAGTAGAGGTAGAGGTGGCTTTGCGGTGGTGAAGGTGTAGCTTTGTTGGTTGTTTTCCGGTTACCGGTTGCATTGTTCCGCGAGGTGATAGACTTGGGTTGGGGCATTATTGCATTTGCATCGGTTTGCATGTAGACTTGGGTATCATTTGGAGTGTGTTTTGAATAGACGTTTCAGATAGCATGGTAATTGGCATTTGTCGATTCAAACTGATATCCTGTGTTTGTGTTGATGGTGATCCTTGTGATGGTGTTGAAGATGGAAAAAGTAAATATTTACAGGGGAAGCAAACAATGGCGGGGTACAGGGGGGGTTGCTGTTAGTGGTGTCGTGCACAGACCACTTTCCTTCCAACCTACTCCAAAAAATGCACCAAAACTGCCGGCATGCCAAGCAATTTTCGCCCTCTAGCAGACCCCGAGTCCCCGACAAGCTACAGGTAATCCACCAAACAAACAACTTCCATCTTGACATCCTCTTGACCTCTTCATCCAGACTTGTTCCTCTTCCTGGTTTCCCACTCGACCTCCTTCGATAGCTTTCTGAATCGAACACGATGCCTCCCGAAATCACACCTCCTTCTCGCGCTCCTCGACAATCTCGAACCGTCGCTGGCTTCTCTCCGTCCTCCCCGACTTCCCCCCTCTGTCGAACCTCCTTGATAGCCTCGCTGACAATCGACGTCTCGGCCGACTTGAACTTCCACGCCGGAACCCTCCGCTCAAACAACTCGTCAATCTCCTCCAGCGCCCGACCCTTTAGCTCCGGGAGAAAGAAGAAGAAGAACAAGGCACAACAGAAATTGGACCCGGCCCAGATGTAGCCATACTTTGCGCCCCAGTTCATGTTCTCCGGGTTGATAAAGTACGGCGAGCAGAAAGACGTCAACCACGCCAGGAAATACCCCAGACTGATGGCCGCCCCGACTGTGTACGACCGCAGCCTCGTGCTCACCAGCTCCGTCGCCACGGGGTAACTCGCGATGCCCACAAACGCATTATACGCAAAGTTGAACAGGGCACTACACGCAATCAGACTATCCCTCGCCCTCCTCGTGCCCGCCTCTGTCGTCGCCGAGATGGCCATGCCCAACATGAACATGCCCTGCACCACCGCTCCCGTCGTCATCAGCGTCCGCCGGCCCATGACATAGCGCATCAAGTACATGCCGACATTGACCCCGACAAACCTGATACACGTCTTCATGATGCTGTACTTGAACGACAAATCCACCGGCAGTCCCGACACAATCATGAAATACGTCGAGTAGCTGATATAGAACCAGCTCCCGCTCCCAGCCTGGGTCGCGATCACTCCGAAACACAACAGCGTTCGTCGCAAATCACTCCCGCGGAACATATCCAACGGCCCAGCCGTACTCGCCAGCCTCTTCTCCTCTTCGATCCCTTTGACCATCTCCACCCACTCAACCTCCAACCTTTCCTGACCTTCCTTGTCATCCTCGCCTACGGCTCTCAGCCTCTCCAACGCCCTCCTTCCCTCCTGGTACCGCCCCCGACTGACCTCCCACCTCGGACTCTCCGGCACCACCCACCACACCCCCGCCGACAACACCACAGGAACAACAAACAGCACGCCCAGCGGCACCCTCCAGCTCCCTTTCCCCAGCCACCCCTTCGTCGCATTCGTCACCACCGCGCCCAGTACACTTCCCACGCAGACCCATTCCGAGAAGAGCGCGACCATGACACCTCTCAGATGCGGCGGCGCCACTTCAGCACAATAAATGTTGGAGAAAGTCACGAGAAACCCGTTCCCGATGCCGAGGATTATCCGACCCACATATAAAGCGGCGGCGGAAGAAGTACCAATCTGGATGGCAGTGCCGAGGGCGGTGAGAAAGCACGCGAGGAGGAGGGCAGGACGACGCCCATAGAGGTGGGAGAAGGGTCCGGCGAAAAGGGTGGAGAGGAGGGAGCCGAGGGTCAGAAAGGAGGAGAGGAGTTGTTGGAAGGTGTGCTTGTCGCGTTGTCAGCTGGGACTACACAAGAGGGAGCTAGATGGAGGGTTGAAGGGGTGAGAAAACCTACGCCGATGCCATAACCACCGGGAGCACTGGGGTCCGGGTAACCAAACACCTTGAGGAAACCTGGCATCGCCTGAAGGGCGGCGAGACAAGCGCTGTCGAGGCCGTATTGCATGTTGGCGAGGGAGACGAGGGCACAAATTAGGAGGCATTTGCTGTTGGTCCAGAGGGAGGTTTCGGGGAGCTTGTCCACGGTCGGGGATGGTGGGCCCATACTGTCTTTGTCCTTTTCTTCGGTGGTCATCTTGCGGTTTGCCTGTTGTGGTTTTTCTCGATCAAGTGATGGAGGAGAGGATGCAGTGGATATCAGCAAGCAAAGGTCGCCGAAGAAGCGAGTGCTTCGTTCTAACATAAAAGACAGACCAACAGCTATGAGAAGGGTTCAGGATCACCACCTTCCCCAATACCAGCCTCATCCATGGTTCTGGAAGTTGGGGGTGAGGGGTCAACGTCGCCTCGAGCGGCCGTTACATCTACCTCCGCGACGCCTTTCTACACACCATCGCCAAACCCAGATCATCATCCGGGAGGCAGCCCTGATAGGGGAAGCTATGTACAGACAATATTGAGCCCGAAGCTGGTTCATCGCTGCATGTCCCACAACGTCCGTTCATCCCCGCGAATTGGTTCGCTGAACCACAGAAACATAAGGTAACCATATTGTGGGAGGGCGGCACACCTGATACACAAAGATTGAAGACCCCCGCATTTCGGCAGTTGATACTCCCTCTGGTTGGATCGTTGGACCATGTTGGAAGGGGACGGCCCGTGGCGATTGAACTTCAACCGATACCACCTACAAAGCTTCGCAGCTTGACCAGTAGTAAGTCGTGATCTTTCGCTGTCAACCATGCCCGTGGGGAGAAGAGAAAATCTCGTGGAGAATTCACGGCGTTGTTGAAGGGGGTGGCTGCGATCAAGGATAATCGTGAAGCTTTTCACAGAATCACGGTGTCCGCATCAGCGCATCCCTGTCGATACTTGATACCTGACCGCATCAATCTTTTTGGCGACGGCGGGAGTGGCCTGTGGTCCTTGCCTGAGCGAGCTGGGATTGGGAGTGAAGTCGTATATTGTTGATTTGGTCGTCGACGCGAGGGTTGTTTCCCTAAGGGGCCGTAGGAGCTTTCTTTCCATCTTTTTCTCTTCTTTTCCCCCTACAACCAACTTCTGAAGAAAGCGCTGGCCGCTCCTGCATCCATTCTTTGAAAACAGACCCATTCCTTTCCTTTCCATCCTGTTCATTCTGCACTTGTCTTTCACCTGATCCCCTCTCCCATATCTGGTGATTCTGGTGATCTGATGTCAACGATCGCGCGTCATTGCGGCGGGCATACATGAGCTGCAAGCAACAATGGCGTGCAAGACTGCATCGGAAACATCAGGCCCGGTTCAACTTCAATTGAATCGTCCCATTCGGTGCGGCTTCTACCCGTTGACTGCACAGTTGATGTGCAGGTGCATCGCCTCTTTGGAATCGGAACATCTTTGCATTTTCTACCAACATACCCCAAGTTTCACAATGTTCACATGTTTCAGCTGACTGAATGCTCACCCCGTTATCCAGAAATCTCTAAGAGCGCCCTTCGATTCTCGAAAAGTTTCAAGTGATGGACACTGCATGCCAGTTCCATCTCATACTTGTACCTTCAGCAATTTCGAACGTGAGCAGCGGGCCGTCACTGACAAGTCTATGCTGCATTCCCAGGGCTGAGTAGGAGCCAATGATATGATTCTGCGAGTACGATATACACATTCTCGACCCACGAAAGCGTAAGGTCGAAAAAAGAGCCTCCGGCAGAAGCACAGAGGCAAGCAGGAGAGGCTGTGAAGTCAGGAGACAACCCACAGCAATCGCAACAACATACCACACCATATTCAGTGCCATCGAACTTCCAGAACCAAAGGCAAAGGGCCGGAAGCAAGTAAATGCAGCAGAGCCTACTTGGGGCTGTGAAGGTTGTGAGATGGCGTGCTTCGAGACGCTTTGGGGGCAGAGCGAGTGATGGACCTGGGAGACGTTGGACGCTCTAAGCTTTGCAAGATCAGGAGATCACTATCATCGAACCTCTATTTAACTGCGTCTCAACTCACTTCTCAGTCGATCATTTCCTCATCATCCTTCAGCACAACAACCTACCCAACCCCAAGAACAGCGACTCAGCAAAGCTCGAAGGGCACTCGCTTGAACTTCAACACCTATTACCACTTTCACACCCAAAACACAACCAACAATAATTTTCACCTCCACCTCAAGCCATCATGAAGTCCACCACTCTCGCTCTCCTCCTTGCCGCTGCCGGCTCCATCGAGGCCATCACCGTCTCCCTCCCCTCCGGTGTCACCCTTCCCTCCGGCGTCACCTTGCCTAGCGGCGTCAGCGTCGTGACCGCCACCGCCTCCGCCAACAACAAGCGCTTCCTGCACGCCCTCGGCCACGACAAGCGCCAGTTCTCCGGCCTGACTGTGAGCGCGGCCGCCACGACCGCTGCCGCCAACAACAACGCTGATGCCGATGCTGATGATTCCAAGGAGGATGATTCCAAGGAGGATGATTCCAAGGAGGACGATTCCAAGGAGGACGATTCCAAGGAGGATGATTCCAAGGAGGATGATGGCAGTGATGCCAATGCTGATGAAGCGAGCGGTGAAGGGCAGGGGGATGTTGACGCTGCCTTGGGCGGGTTTGCGAGGAAGTTGAGGGTTAAGCGGGAGTAAGCATGTTCTCACTTGAGAGATGGAAGTTCTTTGTAGTGTGGGCTTTTAGGCCTTGGTTTGGACTCGGGGAATGGTTAAGATCCAATGGGAAGGAGCTGTTTCATGTCAATTGCATCTGGAGTGGTTTGGATGGGAGTCGGTAAGGAAGAATGGACACGGAATGTTGCAAATTCTCTTCTGTTTGAGGCTGCCCTGTTGGTGGGCGAGCTTCCTTGTACAACATTTTTTTGCTTTTGGACTTTCATGGAGGGCAGTGGACATCTGGACGGCGCAAGACGGACTGGGGGAACGGAAGAGGATCGGACTGGGAAATAAAAAATGCGATGCAGCTACAACTAGAATGGGATGCATAGGAGGTTGGGTTTGGATGTTGAATGTATACCAGTTACAGGAGCAATCGACGATGTGTTTTTGTTTTTTTATCTTGGGCCCGCTTCCCTCGACGAGATGACGGAGAGAAATAGTTCGGACATTGCCGCTCTTATGGAACTTTGGGTGTGAACATGGAAAATAAGCGAGCTTTGATCGGAACTCGGAGCCCGGAGCGTTGCCGATTCGAGAATCGACCGCATCGAACTGCTGATGGCGAAACATCGTGTCGAGTCCTCACTAACCTCGCTTGTAGTCGCTAACGGCGTCACCGTCTCGGTAACCGGAATTCTTCCTTTTTCGGCCACGGGAGCTAGCGGCCCACGGGAGCCGAGCTAGCGGTCTACCCCCGTGCCAAGATCAAGCAGGTTACTTTGTAGTGGTGCAGCGTTTCATCGCAACGTCTCCTGCAATTTAACCCCACGTGGGAGTTGGAATGGAAGTGAAACACAACCGGGAAAGAAGGAGGACGGTTCATGCCGAACATTGAAAGAAAACCTCAAGGCAAAGGACCAAAAAGGAAAGAGGCTCGTGACTGGCCCACTGACTGCGAAATGTTTCATCGAGCAGGGCAGTGAACTCCAAGCGCACATGTAAGTGAAGCCAAATCCGGGTCCCCGGTCGAGTCTCGACACCCTTGACTGTTTGACTAACGGGTAGGACTAGCGGCCCTATCGGCCCCCCATCGGGACATGGACTTGGCTTTTCCGATCCAAATGCTGAACGGACCGGACTCCTATGAGGCGACGCACAGAAAGGACTAAGAAAGGGAGCCAAATCCGGAGTTTTGCGAATGACATGGGAGTCTGAGAGCCGCCAGAGGCCAATAGGGAAGAGAAAACCTACCCGCACCCATATCTTTCCTCCACGCACCCATATTTTCAACTAGCCCGAGTCTTCCAACAGCACCACCCCCTTTCTACACCCAAAATCCAGCACTGACAGGGGTTTTGAAACTTTGTTTAACATCCAAAGCTACCTTATAAACGAGCTTAATGGCGGCGTTTTAGAATACGTTGCAAAAGCGACGCTATCAATGCAACCTGGAGGTGACATCGGCGATTTGAGATGACAGGAAAAAGCTACCGAGGACCGAGGGGATGTTCGAACTTGGTTTGACCATTATCCCAAGTTGTATTGCTGGGATTTCCCCGGCTGTGGTGGACACATTTACTTGCGTGCACCTAGAACATGGGTGCGTGGAGGAAAACATATGGGTGCGGGTAGGTTTTCTCATAGGGAACTCCGGTTTTCCTCGACTAACACCGTAACAACGGTCCATCCACCATCGCACCATGGGCCTGGAGCTAGGTCCTGGCACTGGGGTAAATGTTTCTTCGTCCTGTTTCGGTGCTGACGACAAGGTCCCCAGGATGGAACGATGGAAGATGGCGAGATCTTGCCGAGAGATGGAACTATCCAACTGTATCCAGGATTAAGGACAGGAGGTGACTGGGCATGGAATGATTTAGGGGTATGTCACTTCACAACGCCTTGGACGAGTATAAGACCCATCGTCACCCGATCACTCAAGTCTTTCTCTCCCCATCTACAACCGCTTCTTCTTCCGGTCAGTCACTCATTACCTCTAGTTCAGTCACTCATTACCTGTACAAGTCAACATGCATCTCCCCACCGTTCTCTCCGTCATCTTCGCTGCGGCCGGCGTTACCGCCCAGCTCAACGACCTCGCCGTCGCTGCCGGTCTCAAGTACTTCGGTACTGCTGGCCAGGAAGGCACCATCACCTCGGATACCAGATACCGTAACATCATCAACAACAAGCACGAGTTCGGTCAGCTCACTCCCGAGAACGGCATGAAGTGGGATGCCACCGAGGGCCGCCCCGGAGCGTTCACCTTCCAGTCGGGAGATATTGTTGCTGGAGTGGCGAAGACCAATGGACAGCTCTTGAGGTGCCACACGCTGGTTTGGTACAGCCAGTTGCCTTCTTGGGGTGAGTACTTCCATCGATACTGGATAAGGTAGAACGGTGTGTGTACTGACAGGGGATATACAGTCTCTGGCCAGTCCTGGACCCGTCCCGCCCTTCAGTCCGTTATCGAGTCGCACATTAGCAATGTCATGGGCCACTACAAGGGCCAGTGCTACGCCTGGGATGTCGTGAACGAGGCTATCTCCGATGATCCAAATGGCAACTACCGCGATTCGGTGTTCTTCAAAACCTTCAACACGGATTACTTCCCCATTGCCTTCAAGGCTGCGAAGGCCGCTGATCCCAACGCCAAGCTGTGAGTCTGCTCCTCCCATCAGCCACACATGATCGCAGCCAAACTAACACCTCCCAGCTACTACAACGACTACAACCTCGAGTACAACGGCGCCAAGACCAAAAGGGCCCTCGAGCTCGTCAAGCTCATCAAAGCCGCCGGCGCCCCCATTGACGGTGTCGGTTTCCAGGCCCATATGCAGGTCGGCGGCACGCCCTCGCGCGCCGCCATGGCCAACCTCCTCAAGAGCTTCACCGCTCTCGGCGTCGAAGTCGCCTACACCGAGCTCGACATCGCGCACAAGTCGGTCCCCGCCTCCCCCTCCGCCCTCGCCCAACAGGGTAATGACTATGCCAACATGGTCGGCTCCTGCCTGGACGTCCCCGGCTGCGTCGGCGTCACCATCTGGGGCTACGTCGACAAATACAACTGGATCAAGAACGGCGATGCTGCACTCTATGACAGCAACTTCAACAAGAAGGCCGCATGGACCAGTGTTAGCTCCGTGCTGGCCGCTAAGGCGACGAACCCCCCCAGCGCTCCTAAGGCGACGAACCCCCCTACTAAGGCGGCGAACCCCGCTCCTGCTGTGCCGACTACCCTCAGGACCAGCAAGGTCGCTAACGACCCTGCATGTGACGCGCCCACCACTACCGCCAAGGCCGCAGTGCCGGCGCCTACCAAGGCGGCGAGCGGTGCTGGTGCGCAGCAGTCTGTCTCGCGTTGGGGACAGTGTGGTGGTAATGGCTATTCGGGCCCGACTGCTTGCCAGGCCCCGTATACTTGCAAGGTGCAGAACCCTTGGTATAGCCAGTGCTTGTAAGCCAGCTTTTCGAGGGGTTTTGTGCTGGTAATGGCTGGTCGGACCCGACTGCTTGCCAGAGCCCGTATGTACTTGCAAGGTGCAGAACCTTTGGTATAGCCAGTGCCTGTAAGCTTTTCGCGAGGGGTTTGAAGAGGTGGGGTGTTAGTAAGATGTGAAGGGGAAGGGCATTCTTGTATATAAATTGTTCCGGACAGATTGCTCCTGATGGTGGTTTGACAGATGTGATAGGGGCAGAGAGTGACGTTGTACATAGAATAAGTATTTTCAACATAGAATACATTTACCTATACTGCTTCGCTCATTCTTAGTGCCCTTGATACTGTCCCAAGCAATGTGTACGCGTACCTCAAGGTATTGTTACGAGAAAGTGCGCGGTTGGGTGGTGTCACTGGTGTGCCCCTTCTCTGAACTACTGCGCTTTGAGGAAAACACTCAAGTGGTTCTTAGCTACCTGCTTCAAGACAGAAGCTACCAGTAAGTAGAGATAGATACTTCGAATCATAAATCATATATCATGTGCTTGAACTTTTCCCTCAACTTCTCCACCACTTCAGCGTAAAATGATTTTCTAAAATCCTCATCATCCAAGCCCTTCTCGCTGTTGTGAGTTACAAGGCACCAATGAACAATGTTCTTATAATCTTCCCCAGCAGATTCTTCATTTTCCCACAGGAGACTTTCCGCATTCCGTGACAGCTTTTTGTGCATGCTATCTGGCATGACGACTGCTCCCGGCGGGATAGGAACCTGGTGAGCTTTCAAGTCAATTTCGGTAGCTATAGGGAGTTTCCGGTCTTCTAACAGCATGAGCTGGCAAAGCAACAGGCCCAGGTAGAATGCAGTTGGATAGAAGGGGCTGGGAGTAACCGTAGGGTTGCCATCATGGCGGCTTTTCGTATCCGAAGGAGTGCAACCAACTGGCTTCGAGATGAATGTTCGTAGTTTGAACCTTTCCGAGGCAATACTACTATCGTTCACCAAAAATACGATATCATCAAGCGTGAGAGGTTTGGACAACCAGGGCATGCTGTGCATGTGAAGGACACTCTCGGAAATTGCAACTGCCATTCGTATTTTGTCGCCGGTTCTCGGCCTGGGAACTCTGTGTGCTCCCTGTAAGTCACTGTCAAGTATTTGACGGAGGGTGAGAGTGGTTTGGAACTCGACAGGCTCGGCAATGGATTGCTGTTGGTACTTGAGATTAATATCGTCCTGCTCGCGTGGTGGATAGAGGGCGAATTTGCGGCCTTGGCTTATAGCCACGATGCAACCATGACAGTAATCTTGATCGGATGCTCGTTTCTTCCCTTTGCCGAGGGTGATCTCGCAAAGATTCAACAGCTTTGTAGGCTCCAGACTGGTGAAACTCGAAAAACTGGTCTTCGCAAGGGTTGCCACTGATGTGGAGGACCCCGTAGAAAAGGCCACCTTTTTGCCTAGTTTGATGGATCGCTCCAGCACATGGGCTGGAAGTTTCGTGAGTGGACCTCTGAACTTGATCTTTCCTGAGCTGCTCGGCCTGGGACCTTCCTGTGAGGAGATTGGACCCACAGGTCCACCAGACATATATGATGGAAGAGACGTAGTCGAACCTGCCGGCGTAGGGTGTGGCGGGTCACGATGAGGGTGTTGACTCATTAATATGGAAGGCGGCAAGCTCGTGCGACCTGTGAACCTGATCTTTCCTGGGCCTCCTGAAGGCTGGTGACTGTTGGATACGGCCGTAGAAAGAACTGGAAGAGACGATGTTGAGTTGGACGGAGACATGGGCGACAAGAGAGGAGGAGATGAAGGGCCAAAGTTGCAGCACTGGACCCGAAAGGTGGCCCAACGGGGTTGTAAGCGCGGCGAACCGTCGGCGACAGTTTGGCCAAGACTGGCGGAGTTCAAAACGAGGTGAAAGCCGATCTTTCCTCTGGCGACTTCATCTTCTGATTCCACCTCTTTGGCAAACCACAAGTCTTTCCGGGACACGAGTTCAAGATAAACATCGGGTGGCTTTGGACAAACACAGCCGGATGATGCATCTCCAAGAGCCATGAAAAGACTTTTGAGTAGGTCACGTAGAAGCCTGGTGACGTGGTCTTTCGAGCGGAGCGTTCTTGTAATCTTCTGCTCGAGGGCAGTGTTGGCGAGGCCCTCGAGAAGAGTGTTGCTGCATTTCAGCCGCCCTATGATGGTATCATACGACTTCTTTCTCAAACTAAAGCCAGTTCTGGCCGCCCAGGCTTTGAGAATCGACCTCTTGTCTCGGTAGAGGTATTTTACTGGCTATCAGATTGTTAGGTACCAATCAAACCAAATACAATAATCAGTTGATTCATAAGGGGTCGTTTTACCTGATCGTATACTAGGCCATTTCGTGGATCGGGGAGTTTCAACTTTAATCGCAGCTCCTCGGAAGACTTGTTTATCTCATCGAGCTGCTCCTTGAACTTATTGTACGTGATATACAGAAGGGTGCGAAGTTGGTCGTCAATTCGAGGTCCAAGCTTTTCCCATTTGGGAGAATGGGGGTTTTCTAGTAGCTCCTGCGATGTAGTGGTCTCATCCAAAAGTGGTCCAAGGAGCCGCTCCAAAGTGTTGTAAAGCCGAGTCCTCTCCGACTCCAGGTCCTGAACAAGTTGCTTGAGGTCCTCTTGAAACTTCTTGGATGAAGGGAAATAGGTTTTGTAGACCTGAAAAGCTTGGACGGCTGCCGGTAAAACGGCCAGAACGATGCCGGCAATTTCGAAGCCGGACATGATCAACAGTCAGGACGGAAGATATCATCCAACTTCTCCAAGGGAGAGAGTGCAATTGATTGTTGCGACAAAGGACATGGACGGGAAGGAACAAACAACGCAGAAGGGAAAGGACGGAGGCGTCAATGGTAAGTGGAATGAAGAATACCTCAGAAAATGGGATGAACCCCGCAACACCGCAAGTTGGCCCCCAACATCGGATGAGGGGCGGAACGGGATCATCATGCAAGTAGGCACCAACACCAACGCAAATTCTTCGTCGTTGGCGTTTACACTGTACGCTCTGCATGCAACCTCACATTTTGCCCTTCGCTGCACACAACCGCCGACCAACCGCCAACCAACGAGCCGCGATAGCCTCCAAATATTTACCAACCCCTCTTTCCCGAATCCCGATGGAGCAAGAAATTTTGAGCACGAGGTGCGATTGACTCGTTCCGATGCCAGGCATCTCAGCTTCAAAGTCACCAATATTCACTATCGGGTATCGCCGGCCACAAAAACCAAATAACTGAGGTAGTTTCACCTAAACACATTTACATTCATCACGATCGTGATCTAACAACGCAAAGCGCACAGACAACCTTCGACAAGATGACGACCCAAGTCCCCATATCCTCTCTTTCTGCACAGGGCATTTCCGCGCTCAAGGCACTGGTGGAGACTTTGGAAGAGGAACGTGAAGCTGATCCCGATACTCGCTCACTGGTTTCCTCTCTCTTGACCAGATTCAAGCTCTGGGTAGGCAATCTTGGAGCCCACCGGGCTTCTGGAACCCGCTCGCTCAAGTACAAGCTCCGCGACGCTTCTATGCTTCGGAACCATGTCGTCTCGCTACTGCAAGACTTGTGTGTCTCTATCGATGAAGGTACGAAATCATATCTGTCTCCTTTTTGTATCATCGGGACTCTTGACTAACCCAGAATACCTACTCGCCCTAGCCTTCGCAGTGGCTCTGGCAGGGGATACTCGCGGTGACGGTATTGAGTCCGATGGCGACCGGGATTCCCTCGACGAGGAGCTCGAGAAGCTTTGGACCGACGAGGGCCAGGACCCTGATGACAGATCCGACCTCGACCTGGCTCTGAGCGGAATTCAGAATGCCGTCGATTGTTTACTCCGTCTCTCCGCGACAATCCGCAACCCTGCCCCGCATGATCACTTCAAATCCAGAGCCGCAGCAGAATACGGAGGAATGTTTGAGCTGGTAGACAAAAACCACATCAGCGAGAAGTATACCCATCTTGATCAAGTCGTAGTGGAGCGTTTGGCCAAGTCGATGGCAAGGCGGCGCCAGTACTTCAGGTATCGTGAAGAGCATGCGAGTCGCATAGCTCATGGAGTGGAAGACATCGTGGAAGGGGTTGAGTGTGGTGATGTCTCCGAGTACACGGCAAACCAAACCACCATTTCGTCACTGCCTGGGCACTCGAAAGATGAGGCACTTGCAGCTACCGTGGCCGAGATGGATGCATTTGACGACCTTGATGATGCGCAATCGCAGGCTTCCGAGACATCTTACGCCGCAACCGATGTCAACTCCACTGAGCTTCGGGTCCCAAGACCACCACCGGAATACATCCACGGGCCTTTTAAATGCCCCTTTTGCCACATGATCATCACAATTGAGAACAAACACCAGTGGAAGTAAGAAACCCCCTTGCATGTTCCATCCATGTCCCCGGCATGGAGCACCAAAGTCCACACACTGACAGTTCATCCATCAACCAGGAAACATGTGTTTAGAGATCTCCAACCGTACAATTGCCTCTATAATTCCTGTAGAATGCCGCACCAGCAGTTCTCACGACGGTCTCAATGGATCGAGCATATGAAGCGTGAGCATTGGAGAGTCTGGCATTGCTCTCTCGGTTGTGCCAGTGCCACCTTCGATTCCGCCAAGCAACTGATAGACCACAACAAGTCCGCTCATGCGGCTAATCTGCAATCCTCCTCATCGGACGAAGACGGAGCCATGGCCCTCTCTTCAGTCCCGGACATTTCGAAGGCTCGAGGACCATGCCCTCTCTGTCTAGAGGTAACGATAGCTACCGACAAGATTTATGGCAAGCATGTTGGTGATCATCTGGAGCGGTTGGCATTGTTTGTCTTGCCTCGGGTGGATTACGAAGACGCATCCGATGACGATGACTTTCAAGATGATAGTAACGACGACGATGATGACAACGACGCATCCGATGGGGAAATCGACAATGATGGCCAACCGACTGCCTCTAATGAAGTAAAGCCACGCGACTCCTCGAACACCTCCTCTCAGCAACCCAGGCAGCCAGACGGCCCACATGAGCCCCAACAAGCGGACAAGAGAATGGACTGGGAAAGCTACCTCCACCGACAGACTGGTCTCCCAGGTGACGACTTGGACAACGACATGTACGCCGAGAGCAGCAGCCAGCAACCTCCGACCAAGCCAGGGATCGTGTCGCGAAACCGGACCAGAGATCCAGATGCACCGCCAACGTACTCGTGGGTGTGAGGTTGGCTCTCGTACCAAGGCCATAAATTTCTATACCCACTTTCCTGCAGAGAGTGGGAAAAAAATTGTCGGACAGCTAAAAATTACCGGGCAGTCTTAATATATAGACCTATTTTACTTTGTTAACGTTTCACACTAAAGTAAAAACTACATAATATTTCTTACGTTTTTTCTTACCAGCGTGAATTTGTAACGTAAAATTTTTAAATTAATTTCGAACCTAATTATTTTAAATTCGTTAATATTGATAAATCGTTGTATTTATTCGTAATAACGCCCCTTTCTTCGCGAAAAGAACCTACGACCGTATATACCGCCCGTTAACTATTCGATACTAAAGTTTAATATTATCGATAGCAATCCTTTAAACCCTTATTTACTACTAAAGAACCGAACTTTCGTAATACTATTCGTATTTTTAAATACGGTAAATCGTAAATTTAATAATATTTTAAGTCTTTAGAAGAATAAAATATACCAATTTAGAACCCTTATAGCCGTAGTCGACTATTAAGCCTCGCTAACGTAGAAAATAATACTTTTAAAATATATATTTACTAATTAAATGAATTTAAATCCTTCGCTAAAAGAAATCTATCAATTAATACTATAAATAAATTACGTACCCGCTATATACTTCCTTTAGGAATAATGAATATAATAATTAGTACGTACAATAGAAATGAAATTATACCGAATTTAAATCGACGAAGGTTAAGCCTATAAAAATATAGCGATTTTCTACCAAATAATAAATTAAGGCGGTAATTAAATTCCTTAATATAAATAAAAAAATTATCGCCGAATACTAAATTACCTCCTCTAATTATTAGAATACTAATAAAGTTAATTACGATATAATAATATTAGTAGATAATTTAGAAATTTTAGTAATAAAGAAGGAAAGGAAAAAGCGTATAAATTATTTATTTTATTTTTCTTTAATATAGAAAATTATTAATAAATTGAAAAAGTCTTTTCGCACCGTCGTAAAAGTCTTTAAGCACCATCGACCCACCTTCTCCCTACCCTTCCCGCCTACGTCCCACCCTTCCTACTTTCCTAACTAATAAAAATCGGTATATCCAAAGCGCAGACTATATTATTTCTACCTTCTACTAATGCCCCTCGTACCGCGCCCGCCAAACTCCTAAATTTTAATTTATTATATATTTTAATCTCTACATAGGCTACTTTTAGTATTATACTAGCTAATATTAACTAATATTAACTATCTAATTTAATTTAACGATTATTTAAAGATATACGTTACTATGTTACTTCCTCTACTAAACTACCACTTTATATATTACTTCGTTATATTTAATTAATTTACTTCAATATTAATACATTATATTACTAAATAAACGAAACAATTATATTTAGTTAATAATATAGAATAATATGTTCTTTTTTAATATATTTCCTTAGCTAACCGTAATATCAATACCTAATATAATAACCTAGCCCGCGTACAATCGTAGCGCGGATAACCCCAATCCTACTTTAATAACTAACTCTATTCTAATTAAGCCTACCTCTACTTAACTTATAGAAATTAATAATTAACTTAGTAATTAAAACGATAACGAATTTTATAACCCTCCCCAGCCTCGTTACGAATATAGCTATTATATTATGTTCAATACCTAATATAATACCTTTAATAAATGAATAACAGCCGTCCAAGCGTAAGTAAAAGAATTTAATTATAATATTATAAAAGGTCGCTCCAATAACTTCTAGAAAGAATATAGTAATTATATAAAATTCGAATTCGTTTATTTAATTAATCCTCTATATAAAGTAAATAATTACTTTGGTTCTATATTAATTACTAAATAGGGATGCTCTTAATAGGGGTATATTAAAGTATTAAAATATAACGATAGGAAGTAGACTTTCGAATTTAGAAAAGCCTATAAATCTTATAATTATTTACTTACTAAATAGCTATTAATTTATGGAACGTTTAAAGTATAATATAAAGGATTTATAGCCGTATATATTAACCGACCCAATATAACCAATCGCGAAATTACTATGGAATTACAAAAGAGGTTTCCTAATTTACACTTTATATTAAAATAATTTATCAACCTTCGTTATAAATTTAAAAAGGAAGTATACGCTAGGTATAACCCCTTTTAACTTACTATAAAACTTTTTAATAATAAGAAAGCCTACTTTTCAATTAATTAGCAGGATATAAAATAAACTAAACTAACCGCCCTCTTCTAAAATGATCTATAGGGAAAGGAATGTTAGAAGTAATACCTATAAGTATAAATATATAATAATATATATAAAATAAATAATAAAGACCTCGCCTTCTTCCAAATTATTAATATAATAGGGACTAACTATACTTTTAATTATAGTTTTAAATTAATTAATAACGAACGTTAAAAGGGATTTAATTAGTTAATAAATTAAATTAATATTCGTTATAAAGCTATTAGCGCTTCTAAACCGCTAATAACTATTACGGACTATAATATAGTAATAAAGGTAGCTATTAAACGAATTTATCCCTAAACTCAATCCCAGCTCTATATTTTTTATATTAATAAAAATATAATATTAAATATTAAGCGAAGGTAGGATAAAAAGGCAATTATTTAAGTTAATAATATTTAAGCCGCCATAAATATAGTATAAATATAACCAAAAATATCGGTATTAATATAGTAAATAATTTAATTAATAGCTTAACTAGCCTAGCTAGCCTAGCCTAACAATATAACGAATTTAAAAGAATTCGACGAAGAAAATTAAAAAAGAGAAACGCTATCTGCACCGCCATAAATCTCTTACTACACCGCCGCCCCACCCTTCCTGCTTTCTCGACCAATCAAAATCAATACATCCTAACCGCGGCCCTCTCGCTACTTCCCAATTATATTCTTTTATAGATTTTGCCCAAAAGTCTAAGCATTAAATTATTTTATAAAATGTTATATAGTTAGTGCCCAACATAATGCCCAACCCAAATGTACGCCTAAATTAGTAACCTTACAAGGCATTTTACAAGGTACTTTACAAGGCACTTAGTAGTACGGTCGCGCACGTCCGTCGGGTCAGCTATCTATATTACAGTTAACTAGGGAAATACACTAAAAGATAATAGATTATTCCGTACCGTCGACTAGAAGCGAGTGCTCTATTTACTTTCGTAATATTTAGTAATACGCGGGGTAATAGATTAATTAAACGTAACGAAGGTAATAAAGGTAGTAATATATTTAATAGAGAAAATAATACGACGATAGCTAGTATAGTACGAGGGTAGCTTATACAACGCGTAATAGCCTAAAATCTAAGAGCTTAGCGGGCGCGGTACGAAAAAGATTAGGTACAGTAGAATTAAAAGCGGGAGCTAAAAGAAGCGAGGGGATATACCAATTTTGATTAGTCGAGAAAGCAGGAAGGGTAGGGTGGCGGTATAGTAAAAGATTTATAGCGGTGCAGATAGCGTTTCTCTTAAAAAATACATAACTATCTTAATCAATTAATAGACGGTATGGATAATCTAAAACTTCTCCTTAATATTATAAAATATTTATAATTTAAACTTTATATTTTTTAAAAGTAAATATACTATATATATATTATTAAGAATTTCAATACCACTTAGGGAAAATTCTACAACTACTTTTCGTAATAAATAATAATCATTATATATTTAAAAAAGAGGTATATAATATTAAAAGAGGAGTAGGCTACCTAATATATTAATAAGAAGCTTAATTTTAATTACCGTACTATATTACTAATTTAAATAATTAGCCCAAATTTAAAAAACTTTATTATTAAAAATAAATTATTTTTAACTATATTAATTCCTATATAATCTATAGCATACTAACCATCCTTCTACATATAGGTAGTTCCCTAATCGTCGCCGCTATTATATAAAATTTTAATCTACTTAATATTATAAAATATTAAATCGAGGAGGAGATAAAAAAAGTAAAAAGTACGTATAAAACGCGAATATTTTAATATAATATAGGCTCATAATACCCCTAAAATATATATTAATTAGTATTTAATAAAGTAGTACGTTAACGTCGTATTATACTTAATACTATCCCAACGGAAATTAGACCGGACCCTAATAAATTAAAATTATATATAAGTAAATTTACTATATAATTTAATTTATTGTATTCGTGTAACTTATTAGAACGCCATCTTAACCGATTTTAAATATTAAAATTTAATAAATTAAACTTTCACCTATATTAATAATTATAAAGATCTTTTAATAAGGGGGACGAATATTTAAGGTATTAAAATTTCAATAAAGTAACGAAGCTTAAAAGTCGCCTTCGTAACGCTATACTATTTATATTTAATCTTCGCGCTCCCCAATTAACTATACCAATTAATATTTAAACCCCTCTACTTTTTACAATACTAATTCAATTTTAAATAATAATATTATAAAATCCCTAAAAATAGGGATAACCTCGCCTCCAACCTACTTACAGCCGATAGCCTAAAGTAAGCTGCAACCTTACAATTTTAATACAAATAACGCTGTTAATTTAGTAAAATACATTTGTATAAGAAAATATTAATTTAAAAATAAAGGATATAACCGATTACTAACCTCTAATTCCGTTATAGAAGGAACGAAGCCACGCCGCGAAGCTCTATATAAATTACATAAAGAGGAAGCAATATTATATAAAGAAGGGGTAGAAGAAAAAGAGGAAATAATTCTATATAGGGTAGAGGAGGTTATACTATTAATACTATAAAAAAAGGAGGTATAAAGGGAGGAAGTATACTAACTAATATTCTAATTAGTATATAAAGTAATTAACGCAATATATCGCTAGCATACAAAATTAATAAATAAGGGTCTAGGGGGCTCGCTAGCAAATAAATTAACCCTTTATATAATAAATATTATATAAATTAATAATATATAAATTAATATAAATTAAATACAATTAATTAATTAAGTATAATTAAGTAAAATATACGACCGTACCGCTACGTACCCTATAAAGTACGCTATAAAATACCCTATAAAATAACTAATTTGGGTATATATTTAAGTTGGGCACTAGCTATATAATATTTTATAAAATAATATAATACCTAAATTTCTAAGCGAAATTTATAAAAGAATACAATTACTAAGTAGAAGGTAGACTACGGTTTAAAT